CTCACGCTTGTTTCCTCTTTCGTTGTGAAGGTTGACCTCTTGCTGCTTAGTAAGGAGAGTTGCGCAGAGAGTAGCAGTGAAGATGACGCCTTGGGCGCGAAGAAACAACTTGCACTATCGCCATTCTGGACTCATGTCAACAAGAATAACAGTCACGAAGGCATAATCAAGGAAGTTTCTACCACATTTCTTGAAGTAGTCCATCAAGTTTCTGTAGTGATTGATGATCGAATTATTCTCCTTAGGCCATTCTGACGGAGTTGACTCAACAATCGATTCATTGTCACTGTACCTATTGTCATGTAGATGCCCCGAAGATACTCCCAAGATAGTTGTGCGGGAACACATTAATTCTTGAACAAGTGGATTCCTAGTTGCTCCGCATGTGAGAAGTTTCATATTAACACTGTGTACACAAGTAGTCACATATTGTAGAACTACACCTTCTCTTAAGGCGTGTCGTTGTTTGGGAAGGGTAATTTATCATCGTAGTACATCCATATTTGCGTTGTTTGCACTAGGAGCTCGAATTCGAAACTCCACACATAAATGTCATTTTTTTTGTGAAAGAGTGGGCTCGTCTTGAGCTTTGATGCTGTTAGGAAATTGTTTTGAATTGATTATTGCGCAACGATATGTGCCTGTTGTTCTTTCTCAGGAGCTTGAACGTGGCGATTGTCGAAGATGAAGGACCTTTTGGAGTTAATTCTAGGAGGCCTTAGAGCTCTTTGGGCGTAGCTGGAGCCGTCAATGCTCGTTGGCTCCAAGGCGCTGATGCGTGAGATGAGTTGCTCGGTAAGGGCGAAGTCAGCGGATGTTGTCAGAATGAACGGCAGAAATGAATAAACTATGACAGGGTTTGGTACAAGTACTAACCCTAAACTGGGTTGTACCCCATATAGGCTACCCCACTACAGCCTACACAATACAATGTTTTGACACACCCCCATAGGCAAGGTGGGGGAGCACAAGTAGTCACAGACAAGCAAAGCAAGCTCAGGGTGGATCACGAAGTCACCACACATTCTGAGCACAAGCAAAGGGCCACAAGGCCAGTCCACATGCAGAGTTATATAAAACAAAGCAAGCAGTACAGTGATCACAACCTAGCAAGAAAATGTAAGCATGCAAGGATATATATAGATCACAGTACAAGCAAGGTCAAGCAGTGAGCAAGTGAGAGAACGTAGGCACGAGGCCTAGAGCAGTGCAGTGACGCTGATGATCACTAGACGGAAGTGCCTTGGTGAATATATCAGCTGTGTTGGCCCGCGTGTCCACGTAAGCAAGACGAAGAAGGCCACGCTGCTGCAACTCTCAAGCAAGGAAGTAACGCAGAGCGATGTGCTTCGTTCTGTGCTTCAGTCTGTGCTCCTGACACAAGGCGAGGGCCGCCTTGTTGTCGCCGCATAGAACTGGAGGAGAACGAGGCTGCTCTCCCAAGTCAGTCAGCAAGTAGGTGAGCCAGCGAAGCTCCTGTGCAGCCATGGCTGTGGCGTAGATCTCAGCCTCACAATTGGAGCTGAGAACAGAAGAAGAGCGGGTAGACCGCCAAGAGACAGAGCCGGAACCAAGACTGAAGGTGTAACCCTGTGACGACCGCTGTGTAGCTAGGTCATCAACCCAAAAGGCGTCTAAGTGTCCAGTGAGGACAACGTCACCCCGTCCTCCAAGCACCAGTCCCATGCCTGATGTACTGCACAAGTAGACAGCACCCTCTTAGCAGCCTCCCAATGCTCTCGCCGGTGTCTCCCAGGCGCAACGTAGCGAGCTAGGATGCTAAGAGGGTACGCAAGGTCAGGTCGAGTGCAGGTCATCAGGTACATGAGGCAGCTCACAAGCTCTGGGTACGGGCCACTCGGCTCTACGGACTCGTCCGAAGGCGGAGCTGAGAGCGAGTGACGTGTAGACAGAGGAGTGGACTGTGGTGAGGAGTACTGGAAGTCGAAGCGCTGAAGGACCTGCTGTACCATGTGTGACTGAGTCAGGGTAATGGTGCGGCGTGCTCTGTCCCTGGTGATCTGCAAGCCAAGGTAGCTGCGCAGCTCACCCAGGTCTGTGCACGTGTGTCTCTTCTGCAGCTCGGACTTCACAAGGGCGAGTGCCTCAGTGTCAGCAGTGGCAAAGACCAAGTCGTCAACGTACACGAGGATGTAGAACGGTGGCAGCGAAGTGTCGGTGCGTAGGAAGAAAAAGCAACGGGTTAGCAGTGGAGGGAGCAAACCCAAGAGCCGCAAGTGTCGTCCTCAGTGTGTCGTGCCACTCACGAGGCGCCTGGCGGAGACCATAGACTGGCCGCCGGAGGCTCTACTGGGTACCAGGAGGGAACGACCCAGTGAAGCCAGGTGGGCGGCGCAGCCAGATCTCCTCGTGCAGGCTGCCCTGCAAGAAAGTTGTGCTGAAGTCAAGAGAGTGAAGCTCGTAGTCACGCTGAGCGGCAACGTGCAGCAGTACCCGAAGAGTGGTCATCTTCGGGGTAGGGGAGAAGGTCTGGAAGAAGTCAACTCCCTGCCGCTGACTGAAGCCTCGTGCAACGTAACGAGCCTTGAAGACAGGCGGAGAACTCGGCGGCCGCTTCACCCTGAAAATCCACATGCCATCGACTATGTTCGCCCCAGGAGGGGGAAACTCGTCAATGTAGGTGCCTGTGGACTTCCAGGATGCCATCTCTACGTCCATGGCTATCTGCCACTGAGAGGAGTAGGGACCCGAGATCGCCTCTGCGTAAGAGCGCGGGGTCGGGATGTCCAGTGCATCCGGGTCTCCCTCAGGTGCAAGCAGCCAGGCCACGAGATGAGGTACAGCAGCCGCAAGACACTCAAAGTCCTCCTGCCTGTCCTCAAGGACGTCCGTGCCAAGAGCACACTCACCCCCGACGGACGGAGGACAGACAGACCCAGACTCAGCAACAAGACTGGCGGCGTAGTCTAGACGACACGCAGCAGCAAAGTCGACAAGCTCAACAACTAAGGCAGACGCGATAGTGGACTCAGACGACGGGTCAGTGAAAACAGTAGCCTGCAGACGCGTGACTGTGGGGCTGGCAGCACGGTCACGCTCAGACTCATAGTCAGGAATCTCAGGAAGAGAGGACGCAGGAGGAGACGGCAGAGGGATGCGCTGTGGAGCAGAGGAAGGACGAAGTGCCATAGTGTGAGTGCCTGGCACAGGAGGAGGACGCGTGACACGATGAGCGGTGCGACCAGCGCGAACAGGGGAGACAGGACGAGACGCAGGCTCACGACGCTCTGTAAGGGAGACCGGCTGCTCAGTGTAACGAGACGGGGCAGGCAGCGGCGAGCCAGGAGGAAGGGCAGTGGACGAAGGAAGACTAAGAACCTGTTGTTCTTTCTCAGGAGCTTGAACGTGGCGATTGTCGAAGATGAAGGACCTTTTGGAGTTAATTCTAGGAGGCCTTAGAGCTCTTTGGGCGTAGCTGGAGCCGTCAATGCTCGTTGGCTCCAAGGCGCTGATGCGTGAGATGAGTTGCTCGTAAGAGCGAAGTCAACGGATGTTGTCAGAATGAACGGCAGGAATGAATGAACTATGACAGGGTTTGGTACAAGTACTAACCCTAAACTGGGTTGTACCCCATATAGGCTACCCCACTACAGCCTACACAATACAATGTTTTGACACACCCCCATAGGCAAGGTAAGGGAGCACAAGTAGTTGCAGACAAGCAAAGCAAGCTCAAGGTGGATCACAACGTCACCACACATTCCGAGCACAAGCAAAGGGCCACAAGGCCAGTCCACATGCAGAGTTATATAAAACAAAGCAAGCAGTACAGTGATCACAACCTAGCAAATGTAAGCATGCAAGGATATATATAGATCACAGTACAAGCAAGGTCAAGCAGTGAGCAAGTGAGAGAACGTAGGCACGAGGCCTAGAGCAGTGCAGTGACGCTGATGATCACTAGACGGAAGTGCCTTGGTGAATATATTAGCAGTGTTGGCCCGCGTGTCCACGTAAGCAAGACGAAGAAGGCCACGCTGCTGCAACTCTCGAGCAAGAAAGTAACGCAGAGCGATGTGCTTCGTTCTGTGCTTCAGTCTGTGCTCCTGACACAAGGCGAGGGCCGCCTTGTTGTCGCCGTACAGAACTGGAGGAGAACGAGGCCGCTCTCCCAAGTCAGTCAGCAAGTAGGTGAGCCAGCGAAGCTCCTGTGCAGCCATGGCTGTGGCGTAGATCTCAGCCTCACAACTGGAGCTGAGAACAGAAGAAGAGCGGGTAGACCGCCAAGAGACAGAGCCGGAACCAAGACTGAAGGTGTAACCCTGTGACGACCGCTGTGTAGCTAGGTCATCAACCCAAAAGGCGTCTAAGTGTCCAGTGAGGACAACGTCACCCCGTCCTCCAAGCACCAGTCCCATGCCTGATGTACTGCACAAGTAGACGGCACCCTCTTAGCAGCCTCCCAATGCTCTCGCCGGTGTCTCCCAGGCGCAACGTAGCGAGCTAGGATGCTAAGAGGGTACGCAAGGTCAGGTCGAGTGCAGGTCATCAGGTACATGAGGCAGCTCACAAGCTCTGGATACGGGCCAGTCGGCTCTACGGACTCGTCCGAAGGCAGAGCTGAGAGCGAGTGACGAGTAGACAGAGGAGTGGACAATGGTGAGGAGTACTAGGAGTCGAAGCGCTGAAGGACCTGCTGCACCATGTGTGACTGGGTCAGGGTAATGGTGCGGCGTGCTCTGTCCCAGGTGATCTGCAAGCCAAGGTAGCTGCGCAGCTCACCCAGGTCTGTGTACGTGTGTCTCTTCTACAGCTCCGACTTCACAAGGGCGAGTGCCTCAGTGTCAGCAGTGGCAAAGACCAAGTCGTCGACGTACACGAGGATGTAGAACGGTGGCAGCGAAGTGTCGGTGCGTAGGAAGAAAAAGCAACGGGTTAGCAGTGGAGGGAGCAAACCCAAGAGCCGCAAGTGTCGTCCTCAGTGTGTCGTGCCACTCACGAGGCGCCTGGTGGAGACCGTAGACTGGCCGCCGGAGGCTCTACTGGGTACCAGGAGGGAACGACCCAGTGAAGCCAGGTGGGCGGCGCAGCCAGATCTCCTCGTGCAGGCTGCCCTGCAAGAAAGTTGTGCTGAAGTCAAGAGAGTGAAGCTCGTAGTCACGCTGAGCGGCAACGTGCAGCAGTACCCGAAGAGTGGTCATCTTCGGGGTAGGGGAGAAGGTCTGGAAGAAGTCAACTCCCTGCCGCTGACTGAAGCCTCGAGCAACGTAACGAGCCTTGAAGACAGGCGGAGAACTCGGCGGCCGCTTCACCCTGAAAATCCACATGCCATCGACTATGTTCGCCCCAGGAGGGGGAAACTCGTCAATGTAGGTGCCTGTGGACTTCCAGGATGCCATCTCTACGTCCATGGCTATCTGCCACTGAGAGGAGTAGGGACCCGAGATCGCCTCTGCGTAAGAGCGCGGGGTCGGGATGTCCAGTGCATCCAGGTCTCCCTCAGGTGCAAGCAGCCAGGCCACGAGATGAGGTACAGCAGCCGCAAGACACTCAAAGTCCTCCTGCCTGTCCTCAAGGACGTCCGTGCCAAGAGCACACTCACCCCCGACGAACGGAGGACAGACAGACTCAGACTCTGCAACAAGACTGGCGGCGTAGTCTAGACGACACGCAGCAGCAAAGTCGACAAGCTCAACAACTAAGGCAGACGCGGCCGCTGCTGCACAGAACCTCCAGCTCTAGTACCTCCAGCTCCAGCGCCTTTAGCGCCAGCGCCTCCAGCTCCAGTGCCTCCGGCTCCAGTACCTCCAGCTCCAGCGCCTCCAGCTCCAGTGCCTCCAGCTCCAGTACCTCCAGCTCCAGCGCCTCCAGCTCCAGTGCCTCCGGCTCCAGTGCCTCCGGCTCTAGGACCTCCAGCTCCAGCGCCTCCAGCTCCAGTGCCTCCTGCTTCAGTATCTCCAGCCGCCTCCAGCTCCAGTGCCTCCAGCTCCAGTGTCTCCAGCTCCAGTGTCTCCAGCTCCAGCACCTCCTGCTCCAGCGCCTCCAGCGCTAGTGCCTCCAGCTCCAGTGCCTCCAGCTCCAGTGCCTCCAGCGCCAGCGCCTCCAGCTCCTAAGCCCGCAACACCACCAGCTCCTGTAGCTCCAGTGTCAGCAGAACCACCAGCCTCGGCAGCTCCAGTACCTCCAGTACGAGCACCTCCAGGAACAGCAGCTCCAGTACCCCCAGTACCTCCAGCTCCAGCAGGACCTCCAGCACCTCCAGGACTAGCAGCTCCAGGGCCTCCAGCTCCAGCACCTCCAGCTCCAGCACCTCCAGGACGAGCACCTCCCGGACCAGCAGTGCCTGCACCACCAGCACCTCCAGTACCAGCAGCACCACCAGCCCCGGCAGCTCCAGTACCTCCAGTACGAGCACCTCCAGGACCAGCAGCTCCAGCTCCAGAGCCTCCAGCCCCGGCGCCCCCAGCTCCAGTAGCGCCACTTCGAAGGCGGGAGCGTCAAGCAAGCCATTCACGTAGCTGTTGTGGTGAGAGAGGCTCTCGCCGACTAGACTGCGGTGGCGAGGCACCTGTAGGACCTCCAGGACTAGTAGCTCCAGTACCCCCAGTACCTCCAGCTCCAGCAGGACCTCCAGCACCTCCAGGACTAGCAGCACCATCAGCCCCAGCAGCTCCAGTACCTCCAGTACGAGCACCTCCAGGACTAGTAGCGCCAGCGCCAGAGCCTCCAGCTCCGGCGCCTCCAGCTCCAGCAGCACCACTCCGAAGGCGGGAGCGTCGAGCAAGCCACTCACGCAGCTGCTGTGGTGAGAGAGGCTCCCGTAGTGAAGACGCAGCACCCCTAGGCCCAGCACCTCCAGACTCAGCACCCCCAGGCTCCGCACCCGCAGGCTCAGCACCCCTAGCTCCAAACACTCAGGCTCAGCACCCCCAGGCTCTGCACGCTCAGGCTCAGCACCCCCAGGCTCTGCACGCTCAGGCTCAGCACCCCCAGGCTCCGCACGCTCAGGCTCAGCACCCCCAGGCTCAGCACCCCAAGCAGGACCACCCCCAACATCACCTGAGTCACCAGTGACCTCGACAGGCTCAGCCAAGGGAAGTGGGTCTACCTGAGACACACCTGAAGGAGCAGGACCCTGAGGGGGGAGGGGGTCTACCGGAGGGGGAACTGGAGAGAGGAAGAGCGGCGGGGGGGGAAGAGGGGCAGTGCGGTAGGGGAAGAGACGGTAGAAGGGAACCGACTCGTCAAAGGTGACGTCCTGGGACGCGAAGACACGGCAAGAGGTGGGGTGGTAAAACTGCCAGCCAGGCGCGTTAGGGTCGAGAAAGCCAAGGAAGACGTAGGGAACAGCGCGAGAGGAGAGCTTGTCCGCGATGGTATCGCGGACAAAGGCACGAGAGCCCCAGACCCGGAACCGCGACGCATCGCCAACCTTCCCCGTCCACCGCAGAGTGGGGGAGGTCTCCGGCAAGGAGACACGGGGCCAGAGGTTGAGCTGATGCGCAGCGTACCGGACCGCAAACGGCCACAGAAAATAGGGAGCCGCCGCATGGATCATGGAGGTACGAGCGACCTCCATGACTAAGCCAATGCGGTGCTCAGCAATCCCATTCTGCTGCGGGGAGGCCGGAAGCGTGAATGACTGGAGGATGCCTTCTCCCTTACAAAAGTCCCGCAAGAAGTCGGAGGAGAACTCACCACCTCTGTCAGAGTGTAGACGCAGGACAGGAAAGTCCGTGCGGAACCGCTCGCGGAGCTAGAGACGAACAGCGCGGATCCAAGGGATCAGGACAGCAGGGACCTCACCCTTGCTGCATGAGGGGAAGACCGTGGTGTAACGCGAGTAGTCGTCAACAACCAGCAGAAAGTACCGCTCGCGGCCCTGTCCACTGACGCGGGCTGGGCCCCACACGTCCATGTGGAGAGTCTGCAGGGGAGCAGTCGTCGGGGGAAACGAGGAGGAGTGAGGAGTGGCGCGCTGCCGCCCCTCGACGCAAGGAAGGCAGGGCGGGGCAGGCGAGCGCGGGAGGGGGGGCAGAGACCTGGGAAGGCCAGAGACAAGGAGGCGGGAGTGCATGCCACGGAGGCGTGGCAGGGAGGGGTGACCAAGGCGGTGGTGCCAAAGGAGAGTCTGGTGCGAAAGGAGGCGACACGAACAAGGGGCTGACAGCTGACCTGACGCAGACACCTGACCAGACGCAGCGACCTGAGGAGGCTCAGTAGTCAGTGTGTACAGGCTCGACCCAGGCCGACGGGTGAACGTGGCCAGGTGACGGCCAGTCCGTGCACACGTGCAGATTGCCACACGCTGTCCTCCAGGGGTAAAGGTATCAACCCCAGCATCCTGAAGGACGGCGGTACTCACCAAGTTCGTAGAGAACGAGGGGAGGTGAAAATTTGTCAGTGAGCCAGACGGGACCGCCGGACACGGGAGAACAGTGGAGGAACGTGCAAGAACTGGGCCCCCGGAGGGGTCAGCCAGAGAGACTGCAACAGGTGCAGGGAGTGGTGTGACTGTGGTACTGTCGCGAAAGAAGCAGCGAGAAGCACCTGAGTCAAGTGTGAAGGTGTGCAAGGCCTCAGCAGGAGCAGTACCAGAGAGAGCAGACTCACTAGCACCCAGAGCAGCAGCCTCTATACCAAAGAGAGCAGACGCACTAGCACGTAGAGCAGCAGCCGCTATACCTGGGTCGGGCGGCACACACAGGTAGCAGTCACCCTCAGTACCAGCAGGCAAAGCGTACATCGCCATAAGGATAACGTCCTAGTCTAGAGCAAATATATCCACACCGCGCCGACGCAGCGCTGACGTCAGCCGCGACGCCAAACTCTGCGCGCCAGGCGTCGCTCAGATAGGCGAAGCAGCGGGACTGTGTGTGGCCAAATGTCCCGCAGGTCTGACCAGCCCGATCACCTGTGCGAATGACGTACGGGCAGCGAGCAGTACACCCAGGGTCACGCTGAGCTAACCACTCACGAAGCTGCTGAGACGTAAGGGTCTCGCGCGGACGCCGCTGCAGCTGCATCTGGCCACCGCCAGAAACTCCCCACTGAACAGCTCCACCGCGACTGCTACCTTGGCCGTCGCCACCACTCCCACTGCTACCACGAAGAGAAGTCATAGCGGGCAGGGCGTAGACGCGGCGATCAGGCACTAGGGTTAGCGCGGAGGGTAGGGTGGGCCGGTGCACGGTCAGGGAAGGGCGGTGCGCGGCCAGAGCAGAGCGGCACGCTGGAAGTAGGTTGGCGCGCAGGCAGGGCAGGGCGTACGCGCGGTGAGCGGGCAGGGCAGGGCGTGCGCGGGCAGCGCGACGCAGGGCAGGGCTAAGACGCGGCGCGCGGACAAAGCAGGGCGCGCTCGAGCCGCGTGATGGGCAGGGCAGGGCGGACGCGCGGTGCGTGGACAGGGCAGGGCGCGCGCGGGTCGCGCGACGGGCTGGGGCAGCCTGCACGGGCGACGCGACGGGCAGGGCAGCCCGCACGGGCGACGCGACGGGCAGGGCAGCCCGCACGGGCGATGCGACGGGCAGGGCAGCCCGCACGGGCGACGCGACGGGCAGGGCAGCCCGCACGGGCGATGCGATGGGCAGGGGCAGGGCGGACGGGCGACGCGACGGGCAGGCAGCCCGCACGGCGACGCGACGCGACAGGCAGCAGGGGCGTGCGGCGTGACGGGCAGCAGGGGCGCGACGGGTAGCAGGGGCAGGGCGTTCGCGGGTCGCGCGACGCAGGGCAGAGCGTGCGCGGGGCAGCGCGACGCAGGGCAGGGCAGGGCATGCGCTGGGCGGAGCAACGCAGGGCAGGGCAGGGCATGCGCGTGTGGTGGGGCAGTGCGACTGGCAGAATACGATTGGTGGGCCCTAACGAGAACGGTCCTGGGACAGGACCTGCTCTGATACCATGTCAGAATGAACGGCACGAATGAATGAACTATGATAGGGTTAAGTACAAGTACTAACCCTAAACTGGGTGTCAGAATGTTATTATTGTCTAGCCTGTAGTGGGGTGCTCTATAGCGAGTACAACCCAGTTAGGGTTTGCTATATGTACCCCAACTGCTGCTAGTGAAATCCCTCTCCTTTCTTCATTTCTTGCCTAGTTATTCTGAAATGCTATCATAGCAGGACCATCCAGATGGGTCGATCCTGTGGGTGGGCCCCACCACCTGCTTCCGCTGCTCCTACTACTCTTTGTGTCGCACGCCCCGTGGCGTGCGACGGATTTTTCATCCCGCCGCGCGCTCGGGGCGTGCGGCGGTTTTCTCCCCGCCGTGCGCACCGAGGCGCACGGCGGTTTCCTACCGTGGGGGACGCCCGCGGCCCCCCGATCCCGTCGCCCGCGGCCCCCCCCCCCCCCCCCCCCCCAACCCCGATTTCCCGTCGCGCCGCCCTGGGGAGCCGCGCATGACCCCCCGCGGCCCCGATTTCCCGTCGTGCCGCCCTGGGGAGCCGCACGCGACCCCCCGCGGCCCCGTTTTCCCGTCGTGCCGCCCTGGGGAGCCGCGCGCGACCCCCCGCGGCCCCGATTTCCCGTCGTGCCGCCCTGGGGAGCCGCGCGCGACCCCCCGCGGCCCCGATTTCCCGTCGCGCCGCCCTGGGGAGCCGCGCGCGGCCCCTCGCTGCCCCGTGGTGGCGTCCTGGGGGCCGAGCGCCGTCCCCCTCGCCGTCCCCCGCGCTCCTTCCCCCGTTCCGCCCGTTTTTAGGGTTTGGGGGTGAGGAGTGTGGGGGTGGCAGCTATGGGGGTGCCGTGTGTGTGCGCCGTCCCCTGCTCCTCCTCCTCCTCCGTCTCCCACTGCTGCAGCTGCCGCTCAGGGGGGTGGATGTGTGGGAGCCGAGGTTTAGGGTTTAAGGGGGGTGTCGTGGAAGTGGAGCTAGGGTGTCAGCAGGGGGTGTGTGAGAGGGGCGTGGGACGGTCGGGGGAGGTTGCGTGGAGGTAGCCGTCGTGACGCCAGCAGCGCCAGTAGTCCGGATGCCCTCGCGCGTTTCGGTAGCCCAGCGAGCCTGCTTCGCCAGTCGCCTGTGGGTCCGTTGCTCCTGTGTGTGCTCGTCGTAGCCGCGGAGCCAGATACTCCCGTAGTCCGGTGCCCTCGTGCGCTCGGTAGCCACTGTGCGCGCCGCTCCTGTTGCCCGTGTGTCTGCAGCTTCAGTCGGCGCCTTTCATCTTCTCGCCCTCACAGTTTCTCCTCCTCCTCACTTGCCCTCTATGATCACCTCTAGCTTTGCTTATAATTGTGAACTACTGCTATGCCTGCTCATTGTACTGATTACACCCCACTTTGGCTATGGGGGTGTGTCAGAATGTTATTATTGTCTAGCCTGTAGTGGGGTGCTCTATAGCGAGTACAACCCAGTTAGGGTTTGCTATATGTACCCCAACTGCTGCTAGTGAAATCCCTCTCCTTTCATTCATTCTTGCCTAGTTATTCTGAAACTGGGTTGTACCCCATATAGGCTACCCCACTACAGCCTACACAATACAATGTTTTGACAGATGTCACACCAAAGGGGACATTAAATGATCGTAGGGCTGGACTTCCTCCAGCCTCGCCGCAATTAACACCTGGCATATAATAAATCTTGTTCTGAAGATATTTATAAAGGGAGTTCAGTTAAGAACTTGTTTGCAATCCTTATAATCCAAACTCGTTCGAATATCATGTTGAAATAACCAATGAATCGATTGGATAAGATAAGGAGCCACAAATTTAAGACAATAGAAGTTTTAAATGGACCTTGTTATAGTTAAATGTATATATCAAGATAATAAAGCGTTGCATTCATCAGGTTTATGTTGTCCTAGCTAACCATATACTCTAACGAGTATATTTCCTTATTCAACTATAACAGGTATCTGCACAATAGCAGTAACTATTCCGATGCCTAGCAGTTACCATATGCTATGCGTAACCTCCGGTGCTGGTCAGTCAGTAGTCGGCACAATTAACTTATGACTGTTAACTTTCCACCTCCCTACTGCCGCATACTCTGCATGAATGTAACACGATAGTGGGGAGCGCGCATTCTTTGTGCAAATTTGTTACTTCTGTACTTCGTTTATTTATAAATAACCTCTCGTTTTTGCAACAACACAAACAAATGGGGTGATAAGACACTACCAGATCATAAGCCCTACCCTCCATCTTCCTCCCTCCCTATCCCTCCAAAAGAAGAGGCGGGAATAACTATAAGCCTTAGAGGGGAGTATATTCGAGAGAATGCACCATGGAAAATTGATGTTGAAATGCGTCTTTCTTTTGACTTTGTTATACTCATTTCACACTATACAAAACTATGTGAACATGTTTTAATCACTTCATATCTGTGTCGAACGGTCTGTGTGGTGCCAATGCCAAGTGCATATTATATTATGTGGCGAAAGATGTGCAATAAATCGGCAAACGTGATAACTAAACCATAATAACACGATACCCTTGTCGTAATAGTAGGTATACTGAGGAGCCATAGCTAGGGTTGACCTAGCTAGGCATGAGAGAATGAAGGCAAAAGAGGGCTGAACTAGCAAGAATGGGGATACAAATAGCAAACCCTAGAAGGGTTGTACTCGCTACAGAGCACCCCA